ACGGTTAAACCGATTGTATCCGGGTAAGTTAACTCGGTTAACCGATTAAGAATTTTTTACCCGGTTCAGATCATTACGTACGCTGCACTTTATAACAATTCTAACCAAAAAAGAACAATTCTTGATTAAACTCGTGGCACGGATATAAAAGGGCTTTTTAGAAAGATTTAGCAAATTTTAACATTCGATTACAATTACTAAAAGGACAGGACAATGAGTATGAAAAATGACATTTCAATTGATTGCTCTTTCAAAAACCTTTTCACATGCAAATAGTTAAAGCTGTCATTTTTTTTATAACGGTTACTACTCTATTGTTAGCAACGGAAGTGGTATTTGTTTGTAATTTTTAACTTCGCTTGTCATATACTCTAGGAATTTATGATACATTGATATTATTACCTAATATTTGATAGAGTTTAATTGATGAAATAATGATCATAGTTTAATAAGGTAAAATTTTAATGTGATCGCGAAAGACCAATATGGACCTTAAGAAAATTCTTGATGTTTACTAAATTCTTTACTTTTCCTGCCTGCGTTTTTCTTTTCACCTCTTATTGTTTACATAATTTGTATTGAATTTAAACCTCTTTGGTTGTGGCGACAACTATTCTTACTTCTAACCTCTGAGTACGAATTCCTGTTTCTTTATATTAATTGGTAGCCTTATCATTAGGGTCTAACAAATTTTTCTAATAGCAATCGACAGAAAGAACGGAAGGAATTATTACCGGCTTGATTTTTTAATTAAGAAATAAAGACATCTCATTTTTATACCAAATTCTACCTATTTGTAATATGATTCATGTTCATTTCAGGCGAAAGAATACTACCGTCAAATCGAGACTTTTTTGATGTCTCTTGAAAATCCAAATATCATTATTCCTGACTGTGATCTAAAATGGTTTGAAAAAATTGCATCTTTAAATTCTCGCTCTCTTCGAACGAGTCTCATCGAGTGACAACTTGAGATCATGCCATCATTGCCAGCTCACATTGAATCCAGTATGTTATGCTTTGTATACTGTATTGAGTTTGAATGTCAATAGATAGCCCAGAATTATGATGAAAAATTATTTATTAGGTTACAGGGAACTCAATATTAATTGCCAGATTGGCTATTGGTGCGATGCAAATGAAAGCTTGGTTGGGATCAGTAGTTCTTCGCAGGTATATTATGAAGCTTTTAACTATTTTTAACCAGGGATGATTTAACCACTATTTTTTAGGGTTAGAGGTTTATATAACATAATAAAAATTTAATATAATAGTCCAAACTTTGTTACGTTTAAGGTTTTTGGGTTCTGAGTATTTTTAGAACCACTTACTTTAATTACTTTGAGATAGCATCCCAGGTGATTTAATCAGGGATGCAAGTTGGAATAGCCTTATGAAAAAAAATGATAATTTTATTCTTTATGTTGTTAATACTCCAATCACATTGATTTTAGGGTGCTTTCAGATTGCTTAAGTTGGAAAATCCTGATTCTCCCAATAAACCCACTATTCTATCTCCTGATACTGCCGTCATCCTCAAAGACAGGTTTTTGAATGTTATTAAAATATAAAGATATTTACAAATCGTTAATTTATATTACAGATGGGATTCTTTAAGCAATGAAGCCAGAAATGAAACATTTCCCTCAGTTTCCCCAAACTTCATCATTGAGTTGCGTTCACCAATCGACTCTTCCCAGAATCTGCATCAAAAAATGATGCGTTGGGTGAAAGCAGGTGTAGACGTAAGAAATTAATGATAAATGATAACTGTTTATTAGTTATATTTTATTAGTTATATTTTATTGGTTAATTACTATTATAATGTTTATTTAGGAGGGAATCTCCATAGATTTAATTACAAATCCACCGGAGGTTAGAACATATACCTTTAATCCTGACGCTAATAAAATTATTTGGAAAACACAGGTGAACCCCGACCAGGTTGAATCAGAAGTTCTCAAAGGGTTCGTTTTGCAAATATTATGTTAGTAATAAAAATTACAGAGTTTAAAAGCATTAATAAATTAACAGTGATGGTAAATGACAAAGTCATAATTTTTTATGAAAGTGACTATAAATGACATGTCATTTTAAAATGACAATTTCATTTTTATAAACCAAAAAAATCATTCTGAAATTTTTATCGAGTGTTTCAGGAATTATCATTAAAAAAATTTGATACAAAACCATGGCAAAATGACAAGTCACAATAAATGACAATAATAATAATACATATTTGTACGTATGCAAACAGACATAAGCTTGATTTATAGTTATAAAAACAGCAACCTTTAAGCTAATCTTTTATTATCTTTATGTATTTCTTTCGATTCTTATATCATAAAAACTAAAAAGTGCACCCCTGTTTTTTAATAGTAAATAAGCAGATTAATAGTAGGGTTAGTGTTAGTGTTAGTGTTAGTGTTAGTGTTTGGGTTAGGGTTTGAGTTAGAGTAGGCTAAAATTGCGAGAGGAGCATTTTTACTTAGTTACA